TGAAATACTCACATGAAAACCAGAGAATTATTTACTTTTGCCGTCGCCTTTTTGGAAACACAGGTAGGAGCAATCAGCTAAGTGAGCTTAGTGCTTGGAAAATATCTTTCATTTCTTTAGAGACAGCATGAAAAGTCAGCTGAGTACAAAACATAGAGAGGAAAACAAGAAGAAAAGGGACAAGAAGAGAGGGACACAACCTAGAACAGACAATGGATGTCTATTCTATTAACATTTCTCTATCTGGAGAATGGGTCTTTTGCTGCCTGTCTTTGCCTAGGGCCCCAGGTTTCCTAAATCCGCCCCTGTCTAGAGGGGATCATGGTCCAGTCTGCAGTATCGGCTGGTTAGAAGCTCTGAAGGAGGCAGATGAACCCAAACCACTCAAACCAAAGGTTTGCTTTTGGCTAAAGGTCATTTTAATGGGTTTCCTTACAAAGGCTCTACTGTTTCACAAATATTGACACCCCCACACCCCCCCAGCTGTTCCTGCCCACTGTCAGTCAGCTGGCTGAAGGAAAAAGGCTATCGGCCAGCAAATAGACAATGTGGCGAATCTTATCGTTGTGATTGTTGCATTTCTTCCTGCATTAAAAATAACAAACGAGAAATTACAGCTTTAATGAGAAAGGAACAGAAAAAAAGTGGTGCTGATGGTGGGGGTCCAAACCTTTGCTGGTCGGGCCTTCCCCTGTGTGGGAGTTCTCTGGTTTCCTTCTGCTTTCTGAAAGCCTGTTGAGTTGAAGGGGTGACCCTAAATCATAGGTGCGGATTAGGGCTGCAATTAATGATTATTTTGCAAATTGATTAATCTATTAATCTGCCAAAGGTTCCTTAAAGAAGGTTTTTTTGGGAAATTTAACCAGGTGAAACATTTTTTCCACTTAAATTCTGGATAGAGGGGTAGGGGTCCTCCTGCAGTAAAGAAGAAAAAGATTGTTGTCTTAAATGTAAAATTTTTTTATATATATTTTGATAATTCTGGTATAATGTCTGCTCTAATTGGGTCACTGTCAGCTAAAGGCATGGTTTACAGTTAACGATTAATTGATTAATAAAGTAGTTGACAACTATTTCAATAATAGATTAATCTGACTAATTGTTTCAGCCCAAATATGGATGTTTGTGAATTAAACAACCGCTGACGTTTAATTTGATTTGCATTTATGCACTGCAAAAAATGTAAATGTAAATAAGTAATTTTTTTCTTAAAATAAGTTTATTTTTTCTTTAATTGAGGAGGTAAATGAGGCACATTGGCAATGGAAAAAGAAAATTTACATTTAAAATAAAAATAAAAACAATTGCATTGTCTTATTTCTCATGCATATTATCCAATCATCTTATTTTAAAAGTATAAACACTCATTCCATTGGCAGATCATCTTATTTAAATGCTCAGATTAAGGGTAAATACACTTAATTTAAGACATTTTTCCTTTTTGCAGTGTGGTTTTATTTTGCATAACATTTTCAGCGAGCAGGAAAATGTTGCTTTTGCTCAGGTCAAAAGCTTCCTTCTGTTTTGGTTTTATCCTCTAAACTGTTTTGGAGTTGATGTTTTAGCTCCTGAAACGAGCAAAGTGCCGCACAGGAAAGAACGACACAGAACAACCTAAAGGTTTGTCGTTGTTTCCTAGAATTTGATGAAGAGAAAAAACAAAACGGAAAAAAAGGAGAAATTGTGGCGTTGAATGTGTCCGTCCTCTGCAGCCTGTCTGAGAGCCTGCTAATCCTCACCCCCCACCGTAATCACCAGCCCCAAGACTGCATCTGATATTGATCACGTTATTCCAACTCCAACTAATCATTAACATGACTGGCAGTTGCACAAAGAGAAGAAAGCCTGAGCTCTTTCAAAGCTGAGCCCCACTGGCTGTGCATGAGGAGCCAGGGACACTGAATGAGGGAAACGACTCCTCTTTTATCAGCTACGCCCTTCTGTCCTCCAGATCTACATCTTTTATTCACTCCTTTTCTCTCTAAATGATCCATACTGGGAGGCCAGGTTGCTGGCAAATGCACGCATCTAAAGGTTGTTGGCTTGGTGGGGGTGGAGGGGTGGGCTATGATCTCGATATGCTGCTAATGGAGAGGCTGGCACAGGAATGTAAGCTGTGTTTTCATTTGTTCATTTATTTATTTATTTGAGCCATTTGTTTTTTGAGAGAAGGACACAGGTGCCCTTGCAGAGCGATGTGACGTGAGCGGACTGTGAATTTGCCAGGTGGCAGAGAAAGACAGAACAGGAGGAAGTGAAGGTAATGAAATCAAAGTAGAGAGGAAAGAGGAAGCAGATAGACCCTGAGAGGAAGTGAAGTCCATCGGGAAGGCGGTAGAATCTTCTGGAAGGGGTCCGTTTGACCACCATGTTAAAGGTTTGATAGAACTGATCAACATCCAGGCGGAGAGACTTCATTGTGTCCAATGAGGCCGGAGCCGCGTGTCCACCAACAAACACACTGCAGTTTTCACCCTGATGCGCTCACTTAGGATACCTCTCGCTGGAAGATTTATAGGCGTAGTGATTGGCTTCATCGCCCCCCCCTCCACCATTCTGCGGCACTGCCATTTGCAATGGTTGATGAGCCCCTCCGCCCTCTCAAACATGGCCGTCTCAGGGATTGGGGGTGGGGGGGAAATGAGGGAAGGAGGGTAGATGGCGTAAAGCACGCCGCCTCTGATCGCTCCTCCTTCACCTCCTCCATGGTCTGGCTGTGTTCTCCATGCACCTTTCCAGGGCTCCGCTGAAGGTCATTGTTGCAGCCTCCTCGTCCGCCTCTGCCCTGCGCCCCTCCAGCCTCTCCGCCTTTGTTACTTTTCTCTAAGAGCAGCGAGTGAATGGACTGCCGTACTTTATAGTGCTGCGTCAAAAGAGGCGGAGTAGAGGAGAAAATGACATTTTTTGGGACCGGCGTTGGGGGGGTGGGGATGTGACGTCCTGAGGAGAGGAGGCCGGCCATTGGCTGCATCGGCTGTCAGTCCTGCGCGCTGCTGCAGACGGACAGGCCACTCGATGAATATGGATGAGAGCAGTGAAAAGGGTGATGCGGCAGGGAAGACCCCCCCTCCTCAAACCGATGCAGGCTTGAACAATGCGTGCCGTCTTTCACTGAAAACACTCAGAGCCTGCATTAGCATTTTCTCAGACAATTGAGGCTGTGGCCAGCTGCAGGCATGGCCGGGATGCTGCGGTGAAATCTCTTTTTCTGCTCCTACTGATGAATGAGACCTTGGTGAAAAAAGGTCGACTGGCCGCATTCCTCAACACCACCGTCGCACCTATGCCTCGGCTAACGTCAGGAGCCCCTTTAGAGATTGCGCCCCGGCATTGATGGCGATCTGACAGAGGACTTTAGAAGCAGCAGATCTCAGAATGGGTAAGCTTCAAACTCTGAATGTCTGACTTGTTGAATTTATCCATCAAACGGCGCCGTGGATAGTTTCATAGGCGTCTTAGGCTCATTTGTTGGCTGCGGCTCATTTTTGTTCCGCCGTCCTTGCTCCCCATCAGGAGCAGGTTGGTCCATTGAGATGCAGAATGGGTACTTGGACGGGTAGTGAGAAGGAGGGGAGGACGGTCACAAGGCATTTCCTCCTGACCCACCCCCCCTTGAGTGACTTAACTAAACACATTTGGCTCAGAAACCGTGTCTCTCCTCCAAGCCATCCTTCCAGTACTGAGAGCGAGGGTTTGAACTAACACCCCACTGGCTCCATCTCCCAGTGTGCCCCACTGCTCCGGTTCCCTGGCGACAGATTGCCATGTTTACTCTACCACATGACGCTATTAAAACCTGCTACTGTGATCTCAGACACTGGGACAGAATGAATTATTGACTAATGACACCAAACGTGGCTGTGAGGGTGACAGAGGGGATCTTGGCGGCTTCCTCCCCTGCTTGGTTCACTCTGACTGAAGATGAGCAGAAAGTTACGCAGTGGGTCGGGGATTGTCTGTCAACAACAGGTCCTGGAATATTCAGATCGTTCAATGATGATTTCTCTCCTGCTGGCATGCCGTCAGTCATCCTGAAATGAGAGTGAGAGCCCAGGAGCGGTTAAAGCCTGTTACTTGATTTTTCCCATCAAGGTCATTTTGTGTTTTACGTTAAAGCAGAGGGCTGACTGCAGCGCTCTAAGATGAGACGGTTGACAATTACATGAGATACGTTAAGATTAATAGTTTTTTGACATGAATTATTCCTTAGCTTTAATCCCCCCCCCCCCTGGTTTAAGGATCCTTGTCAGAACAATTGATACAGTGATGTTCATGAAGCTGGGCGTACGTCTGAATGGAACATGAGGGGCATGTTAATGCAACAAGAGGAAGAGCTGTCATGGAAGTCACAGTGCCATGTCCTTTCACATCATAGAAGCAACAGGTTGGTGTGTCCACCCGTCCTCTGCGTCTCCAGTATTCTGTCCACACTGAGCGGTGACCGCTGACAGACTGCGACAGCTGACTCCGTCTAATGTCCAACCTGAAAGCAGAGGAGCCGTGTACAGAACGGCGCTGGGTAACGTCCCTGCTCCGCTCTGCTGACGTCATCCCTTTGGGAAGGGAAGAAGGATGAACATGACGTCATTGCATCCATATCAGCATGCGGAGAAGATGGTTGTGTCTGTGCTGAAGTTGTAATGTGCTGCTGTGTTGCATCTTCTCCGTGACGTCATCTGGATGTTGCGTGGCTTTAGGCCCTTTTCTTCGGTTCGTCTATAACGTTTCGGGCACATTGTGGCCCATTGCTTCTCTGTGGTTTCCACTCAATCAGATTCTGGGGAGTTTTTCCAAGCTAAGGGGTATAAGATTTTCTGCACAGTGACTCTGTCAATCAGCCACTGCTAAAAGCCACTTTAAACCACAAAAGCCCCTCCTAAATGCAGGAGATTTAAACCGTTTTGGCTCTATACTCTTTGAACAAATCTGCAGGATTGCTTCCCATATGTCCTCCACACGTCGGCTAATTACTGAGGATAATTTTGCGCGGCTATTCATGAGCTGCTTGGATGAGGAGTTGAATATAATTGTGTTTTGTCCTGACAGTTTGTGCCTCAGATTCCTTGTTTTTAGTTCTTGCATAAAGCAGGATTACTCACACTAGGCACGGATGGGTATTTATTAGAACTCCCTGAAAATGGTTAAAATTAGACCTGTGCAAACCAGAAAGGAGGTCATCATTTACTCTACATGAAAATCTGGGACAGGACACGGAACATGCCACCATTCTGATGAGATGTAAAAGTACTCTGACTATCTAGAGCTTCTTCTTCAGGAATTATTAACCTTTTTATGCTCAGATATTTACACACATTTAATGCTTTGGTGTTTTTTCCCCCACATATTTAGTGTAAATGACCTGTTTTATAGCTGCTGTACATGATGTGGCCCTTTTCCCTCTTTGTGTGTCTTCTCCCAGAGGAGGGTGAGTACTTCCTGAAGGTGCTGATCCCCAGCTATGCAGCCGGCTCTATTATTGGCAAGGGTGGCCAGACCATCGTACAGCTGCAGAAGGAGACGGGTGCCACCATTAAGCTGTCCAAGTCCAAAGACTTCTACCCCGGTAAGACGGAGCCCCAAAACTAGAGGGTCTTAGTGAGGTATGGGGGGGGTGGGGGGTCCTCATGCAGTAAAAGAGGGACGGCCTTGATAAATATCCGGCATCTGCGAATCTGGTCTCATCTTAGCGTGTTGGTTTGACTGGTAGCACACAGATCCCCACAGCAGCTGATTTTAGTCATCTACTTGGCGCCGGGGCGCTTTCCTTAGCATTAGAGCTAAATGACGTAGAGCAAACTAGAGAGAATGTAAGAGCTGAGCTCCAGTTCTCTGTCTCATCATACATTATATCCTCTGCTATCCTGGTTGGTACAACGGTTTAAACCAGGCATCCCCAAAGTTGGTCCTGGAGGGCCGCTGTCCTGCAGGTTTGAGAGGTTTCTCTGCTTTAGCACAGCTGATTGCAATGATTGCAGTTCAGCAAAAGCCTGTTAATTAAATATCAATGTAAATCAGCTGTGTTAGAGCAGGAAACCTCTAAAACCTGCAGGACTGCGGCCCTCCAGGACCGACTTGGGGATGCCTGCTTTAAACGGTACAGAAACAGGACAGGAAGAGTTTGACATGGCTGCCATAGAGCGGTAACCATGGAGATGTCCTCATGTGGTGGTGGTGGACGCTATCATCTGTTCTAAAACAAAGGGAACATAGGTTCATCCAACTGGTTGGTCAAACCTAAAGCAAAACTACAGCAGTTAGTTATGATTCCTATCAGAAATGTTTCTTTAATTTTCTCCTTTGTTTTGTTTCACAGCTAATGAAACACTTTGCCCATGCTTTTAATATCATCCTATATCTTATTATACCTCTATAATTTTCACTATAATTTTAATAATAATGTTATAATGTGTAAACTTTCTGGGTATTTGTGTTAAAAATACCTCAGTTCAATTCAGCAGAAGGGGTTATTAATTCAAGCTGAATTAATAACCCCTTCTGCTGAAATAATACCACTTATCCATGCAGGACAGTTCAGAAAGACACAATCTTGATTTTGGACAGTTGGAGCAGGATGGAGAACCCAAAGAGACATGCAGAAAGGCCCCAGGAGGGATTTGAACCCAGAACCTTATTGGTTAAAGGCTGCTATATGTTTGGGGGCACTCATCATACTAAATACCATAGATCCGTCCTTGTTTTTATTTTCAGATTTTAATGACGTCAAACAGGCGTTTCAGTCACGTTACGCTATATAATTGGCTGAACCTTGCTGCATGACGTAAAAACATAGTGGTTGCCCAGACAACGTTAATCAGGTAACGCTTTCTTTTACAATACATCAATAACTACGGAGCCCCTCTTATGACATGGTCAAAAAAAATGTTTAATTGTGGCCACGAAGTAGTATTTCGCGCGCACGAAGTAGTATTTCGCGCGCACGAAGTAGTATTTCGCGGCCACGCAATAAATATAACGTGTGCACGAAATACTTATTAATAATATCCATAAATCCGCCCCTGTTTTCAGGCTTATGTTAACTGTAATTACTTATCTTGGACAGGCTGCTATGTAAACGGGCCTTTAGTCCTTCGTTTAGCTATGCTGCGGTTGTTTACACTACGCCTTTTCCAGCTAAAATAGCGTCTTAGCAACAAATGTCACGTGACTGGCGGAGACCGACTGGGTAAGCAAATCGAGCGCGCCTTAGACCTTAGAGAAGGCGCGCTCGATTTGCTTACCCAGTTGTCCAGGAATGATGTTAATATTATTAATAAGTATTTTGTGCGCACGTTAAACTTATTGCGTGGCCACGAAATAGTATTTCGTGCGCACGATAAACTTATTGCGTGGCCACGAAGTAGTATTTCGTGCGCACGATAAACTTATTGCGTGGCCACGAAGTAGTATTTCGTGCCCACGTTATACTTATTGCGTGGCCACGAAATACTACTTTGTGCGTACGAAATACTACTTCGTGGCCACAATAAAAAATTTTTTTTGACCATGTCATCAGAGGGGCTCCGTAAATAACAATGTAATAACATGGTAATAACAAAGAAAGTCACATTATATAATTTGGTAACAAGAAAAGCTTTATTTGGTAATTACTTCAAAATTAAAGTAATTTAAAATTAATTCCCTGCATGTATTTATTACAATTGTATGTTACTATGTAACAAGGAGACTCTTGGTGGGTAATTCCCATTAGGTTACCACATAACGGTTTCTGTTATTGGCCACCACCTACTAACAGCTCACAAAGTAAAGTGTAATTATGATCAGATAAATAAATCATTATAAAACTGAACTCTAGATTTTCTTAACTAAACTAAGAGTTTAGTTAAAAAGATTGGCTTGCCGTATTCTAGGTTAGATTTTTTGTTATATGCCAAGTAATACGCTGCATTTTACTAGATAATAACACATTAATTTATTGCTGTCGGTGAAATGAATGAGTTACCTGGTAATAACTGTTTGAAATCTTAGAAGTCTGAATTTAGTTTGTCCGCCTAAAAGTTGAAGCACACCACTTACCAAACTTATCCATAAAGTTTCTTCTTGTTACCAAGTAATATAGTGTAACTGGCTATTTTATTACCATGTTATTACATGGTTATTGGTGTACTGTAAAAGAAAGCGTTACTGTTAATAACAAGGCAGCATTTGTGCCCAGACAATGATAATAACAGAGCTTGGAGCATTTGCAGTGTTAGCGTGTCAAATGACCGATGAAGTTTTACCTGGTCCATAACAAGCCTGAAGAAATCTGTGTGAACAGATTTCTTCACTGTGTTGTGAACTAAGTAACTGTTAGACCATGATATAAAGGGGGAGAGCTGGGTAGCGCATTGGCTAAATGTGCTCAGTAGCTAACAGGTTAGCCTCTTTTAGCTTGGTCAGTTAGCCATGTTAAGCTACACTACTTTTAACTTTGTGTCAATTTGGGTTGTCAACTCCCTGAACAACCTGATGTGCGTGCCAGCTGATCCGATTGCCTTCAACCCTCCTGGCGTGGTGATTTTTTTTAGCCCCACTTTGCGTGTGAAATTTTTTTTTTACTATTTGACTCAAATCTGCATTGAATTAGATCCATATTTTCAGTGTGCTTTATATTCATTGTTGCAGACTTTTTCCACCCAGGTATTTGTTTTTCCCATTACTCCCTATATTTCTGCATCCTTTTTTTTTTTGAGGAGCATTGTATCCGAAGGTGCACCGCCCCCCAATGCAGCGTCAGTATTTAAATTCCTCCATTTGTCCTGCTCTGTTACCTCCTGCTATCTTCTCCCTGAGCAACTCTTGGCTCGACCAATGGGATGAGAGTATTCTGGATCGTTACATATATGTTGTCAGCTCATTGGTCACAACGCAGGACTGGGACGGGAACAAGTTTACCAAGTTTTGTATCTAACATGCCCTTGTTCTTAATTTTCCATCAGCTTTTTACTGACTATTTTGCTCTCACAGTAATACGGGACAAAGTGCGTTCCTTTTCCACTATATACAGGACAGGTACTTCTATTTCTAAATACGGAACAATTCCGTTTTTCAAGGGACGTTTGGCAACCCCAATCATCAACCGTTCATTTTCTACAATTAGTATGACTGTTTTCTTTGTCTAAAATATCAATGAAAGTCATTTTTAAGATGTTCCTTTTGTCTTCCTCTGCCCTCAGATCTTAATAATAATAAGCTCTAAAACTTTTTATCAACTTGTTAAGGGGCAGAGCTCAGTCTGTCTTATAAGGCAGTGCTTTGCTTCAAGACTGACAATGATTGTTTTCTACTTTCGGCTACTTTAGATCACAGATGAAGTGTAAAATAATAGAAAAATATGGGCAATAATATGTTAAGACTTCAGAAGAGATCTGATTCTTAAGAAACGGGTGCAATACAGTTTGACCGAGTGGAGTTGCCATATATTGACGTCATAAGAAAGGGCAGGGCCCCGAGCAGATCTGGTACCTACTGCGGAAACCAGCCTTTAAACAGCTTCATCTTAGCAATGAGGAGAGAAGAAGTCTTTTCATTCCTCACCGTGCCTTTTATGTCCACAGCCATCTTTGTTTCTATTGATGGTGTGAAATCATAGAAGCATTTATTGCAGCAACATATGGAAAAGGGGCAGCATCTGGAGATAAAAGGACTTTCTATCAGCATATGATGAAGGACTGTTTGAGCCTGTAGTTTTTCATAACCAAATATTCATGTCTGTATAAATGTTTGTAACATGACCTTGGAAGCCTGTAGCATGTTTGGAGCTCGATTAGCCTGCAGAAAGCTGGATGTTTACAGAGAACCTGTCCTGGATGCAGACTCACCTTGAAATGATTTTGATGGGATATAGAGTGAGGAAAATAAGTATTTGAACACAAGTTCAAATACAAGTTCTCCCACTTAGAAATCATAGGGGGGTCAGAAATTGTCATCATAGGGGCATGTCCACTAATGTGGACTAATCTTTTTAAAAAAAGTCATAATGTAAGATTTTTTTAACTATTTATTTGTATGATACAGCTTCAAATAAGTATTTGAACACCTGTCTATCAGCTATATTTCTGATCCTCAAAAACCTGTTAGTCTGCCTTCTAAGGCTACATTCACACTGCAGCCTGAAGTGACCCAAATCTGATTTTTTTGTTCCAAATGCGACCTGTATCTGATCTTTGCATGGCTGTCTGAACAGCAAAGATCCAATTTTTTCCAATGCGACCCAGGCCACTTGGCCCTGTGGTCCTGAACCCGATACCCGGCCAGGTCGCATTCATCCGACCTGTACACCATTAATACCCGACAAAGGTCACTATTCTGTGTCTTGCTACTTAGAAGCGGCAAGAAAAACAACAACTATGACGAATAATAATGCTGAGAGCAATATTTATGTTTAACCATCTTGAAAAGATTGAGTTTTCAAGGTTGGGAAAGATCAGTAGATGCGCCCCATCACTACTATCCATGTTTACTTCTGTAAACACAGAGCACGCTGGCTTGTGACTTCATTGCGTCCTCTACTGCGCATGTGGGACAATGGGTTGTATGAATGCAGTTCACACAGAAGATCAC